GGAGTTGAAGTCCACAATTCTTAAAGCTGTCAAGTTTGAAGACCCCTGTGGTACAGGATGGCTGGACCTTCAAGGACCGATCCTAAGTAACTTCAAGAAGTCATTGAATGATTGTTAGATTATTATTAATAGATGACTGCAACAGTAACAGCAACAATAATACCAAATAATAGTATTTTTCTAGAAGGTGAGTCAAATGAAAACTGTAATATAATACTCGGAATAATATTAGTATTCTGTCTCTTCTTTCTGTTTGATCTATCAAATACTATCAAACATGGAACTTGTTTTATCAATGGCTGGAAAAATGATAACAATTAGGAATATAATTTGTTTTGTTAAACAAATAAAATAACCCAGACAACACAATGTTTATTAAGCACGAATTAAATGTAATAGTAGAAAATGAGTAAAACTTAAATAAAAATCCTTGGAATAATGACATCTTTGATAGTGTGTCAAGTCCCTGGCCTATTTAGGACTTTGTACTAAACTATTTTGCAGCGCCAAGAAAGAATTCGAAAGCTTTTGCTTTTATTTATTATTAACCACAACTATTCATTCAGTCTGAACCTAATCTGTGGTTCATCTAACTGTAGTCTAGAGGCGGGAAAGGCCAATCTATACTATTTTTTTCAGGTGACTTTTTTTCAATAAATCAAAATTAGGATAAGCTGTGTTTGTTTAATAGTTGCTATAGGAAATAATATCATTCACATACACATGGGATGTATATGCATCCTACCTTTTAAATTAAGATCCCCAGAAATATATGTTTCAATAAACAACTCCAGATTGTAAACCAAAAACCTCAGCCTTGTATCTAAATACGGTAGTTACAACATGCAGAGATAACACAGAGATAGAAACATACAGCTGCACACATGCTGTAAGGGAATATGAGAAAATAACCAACCTTGGAGAGGATGTGATGGGTTTGTTTTCCTTTCTTTTGACAAAGTAACAGAAGTATCCTGGAGCTATAGTAAAAATAATTGTATTTGACAAGGTAATAACACATATAAAGAACAATATGGATGCCTGATGTCTAGAAAATGAGTTTTCTTGTTGAAGTTTTGTTGGTATAAGACAGACAATGAAAGCTGACCATTAAGTGTGCCACCTGCATGGGGGCTGATTGGAAGTATGGAATCACAGAGTTGGAAGGGTCCTTGGAGGTCATCTAATCCAACCCCCTGCCTGAGCAGGAGACCCTTACAGAATCATAGAATGTATTCAGATGTATCATAAAGTATTTCTTTACTGCGTGATGTGACCAGAAAATAAATTGTGTCTATGCCTTGCAAGCAACTCATTATTTTATATA